AAGCCATCAAATGTATTATTAAAGGCCCAGCAAGGCCTTTTCTGAGGAAAACCCGAATTTGCAAAGGCCTCCATGAAGACATGTATTGTCAACAGGAAGTGGAGACGTTTGGACGAGGATAATGGTGGATCATTTCTAGAATTTAATATTAATGGCGTACAGCCATCGACCGAACAAGGATTTAGATGTTAGTCATAACATGGCATTACCATAACGAAAAGCCTGTCCTTAGTCCCTTGTCCCCAAACCTTGCTTAGTGATGGAAGGACTTTGACTTAGGACTGTGGTTTTGGGTTTCGTTGTTTCGTTTCTTTAAAGAAAATCCACCAAAAAACTGTCTTTTGTTTTTTTTAAACTCTAAGTTCATGTAGTCCTCTCTAAACTTGCAATAGGTACTCTCACTCATCCTAATTTTCAAAAACACAAATTACCTACCTACGAGTAGGGCTGGTCAGTCATACGAATGCATAAATTGAAGAAAATAAGTAATTTATGCCAAAAGTATAGGTGTACTAATAAATTGAAAAAACAAAATTGGTGACAAACGTTATTAAGTTGATCTAACTTCTGGAATGTTCACCTGGAATTTGCCTGAGCTCCACATTAGAACGAGTATAAAATATCTAAGCAGATTAGTGGCCAGTGGGGGTTTCCCTGGTGGGGACAAATGTCGTTAATTGACTAATCTAGTTCTAGAGTATTGAACTGTGGTTCTACTCGTACACTAGATTGTTCTAAGGCATATTGTGTAACTAGTTTCATGTGTGGGTTTTCGTAATAGTTACCTACTTAAATTAAGTATGTATTGTTCTAGACTATTTTTTCCGAAATGCAAAAATAATACAATAATGTATGGCACATTGGTCGCACAGTTTAATCGAGTTTCGTTTTCAGCCAAATTACGTCCACTGCTGGACAAAGGCCTCCCCCAAGGTTTTCCACAATGAACGGTCCTGCGCTGCCCGCATCCAGGCTCTTCCCGCGACCTTCACCAGATCGTCGGTCCACCTAGTAGGAGGCCTGCCCACGCTACGTCTTCCAGCCCGTGGTCGCCACTCGAGAACTTTCCTGCCCCAACGGCCATCGTTTATCGAGTTTAAAAACCTTTAACCAGGCTCAAAAAAAAATAATTGGTGTTCCACCGTATTTTCACAGAATGAAGTTCAAATTGATGATGGCTCTATTTAACCCGTAAAAACTACTTAGTGTAATTTAAGAAGGTAAGAAAAGAAAGTGGCTAAGGTATCTGGGGGCACGGCAGTGCCCCCACCAAGTCGAGCAAAAAAGCGGCACGGCCGTACCATCCTTTTCTCGAAGCAATTCAGGCCATTTTCGACCGCCTGTAACTTCGTTGTGGATAAAACTAGAAGGCTGAATTTTCATTAGCTATGTAGGCATTGTAAAGACACGGTATATTTAAAATTTCATTCAATTTGAACCAGTAGTTTAAGAATTATAACGGGTCAAAGTTACTTAATTTTGTCACTCACTGACTGACTCACCGATCATCAAAACTCTAAGGCACTTCTAGCAGACCTAGAAGCTTCAAATTTGGAATATAAGTAGTGTTTGGTGTATGAATCAAGGAAAAACTAAAATATTTGGGGGCACGGTAGTGCAACCGCCAAGTCGAGTAAAATTTTTCAATTTCGGTCCAGTTTTCTAGATACATAACTGCTGTCTACAAAATACAAAAAGAAATGAGATCCCATCAAAAACAATACTTGTCAAAAAAACCAAGTCTCGCAACTCAGTTGTTCTACGGTAAAAAGTTGTGAGATCCATGTAATACCAAGTCCAGGCCAGGAAATCTTTAACGTTTTACATAAATATATTGACTTGGCCATCGCATGAAAACACGTGTAAAGTAAATTATTTAGTGCGATGGCCAAGTCAATATATTTATGTAAAACGTTAAAGATTTCCTGGCCTGGACTTGGTATTACATGGATCTCACAACTTTTTACCGTAGAACAACTGAGTTGCGAGACTTGGTTTTTTTGACAAGTATTGTTTTTGATGGGATAAGTTAAAACATTAGGGTTTTGTTACAAGTAATAAAACTAGTGAAAGTGATGTAGTAGTTTACAGAACTATTATGGTTACTTATGTCTATTTGGTAACTAAGGGCCCTTTCCACGGAATATAATCCAGTTTTGCGGGATCCAGTAATGCGGGATCCGAGCATGTGTGAACACAAGCACAAGTGTGTGTTGAAATTCGAATTCCAAATTGGAATGGGTCGGTTTTTACGGGACACTGCAAACGTGATGTTCCTGTTGATGTTTAACATTAACACACAGATCTACTAAACGAGATTCTACAAAAAACAGTACCGGCAAAAAACGACATATTATTATCGTCGAGGTAAAAAGCCCTAGGAGTAAGTAATATTTATCCTGTAATAATTAAGTAGGTAAACCTCTTCGAAACAATGGAAGAATCAGCCAGTATGCTTACAATATTTTGAAAAGACTTTTTTCAGAACTCCTACATCTACATCGACTTACAAACAGTATTATTGGAATGGTAACACACATTGCGTCACAGGTCGGCGACCGCGGCTTGCACGGAACAAGTAGCCAAATTTTTTCCGTTGAAATTTTGCCGTTCGCTGAATCGATCTCAACTTCAAGTTAGTTAAGGCAAAGACACAATACCTACCTACACTGTAAAAGTGTAAAAGACACCTATATGCCTATATCTATTACTAGCTTTCCGCCCGCGGCTTCGCCCGCGTTGAATTTTGTCTGTCACAGAAAAACTTTATCGCGCGCGTCCCTGTTTCAAAAACCGGGATAAAAACTATCCTTATGTTCTTTCCCGGGACTCAAACTATCACTATGCCAAATTTCATCAAAATCGGTTGCGAGGTTTAAGCGGGAAAGCGTAACAGACAGACAGACAGACAGACAGAGTTACTTTCGCATTTATAATATTAGTTGGGATTAGTTGGGATTCAACTACACGTCGAATTAGAAAGAAGTTTTAATAATGAGACAGTTAAATTCCAAACGTAATAAATAAATAATTTGTACTCGCATAGCTAGAAGGTACCTACTTGTGCACTGCAATGACTGCAACCACAGGAACACCACTCACGACAAAAGATCACAAGTATAATTATATCAAGTATTATTATCATTACGTTACACATCACAAATTAATATTATTCACTGATTAATTTACTTTCACTACAATAAGAAAATAAGTAGAGAAAACGTTTTACACATCACTGTGGAATTACGCGACTACATGTTGGGCGCCAGAATTTCGGGTGAGGGTAGTTTCATATTCATACACCTTTGCTTATAAAAATGTCATTTCTAGAAGCAGGCAAAGGCATTACTTTTTGATAGTTCTATAATTTAAGGTTAAAAACGTGAAGGAAATTCTTTTAATTTAGACTATACTTAGGTATAAAAAACAAAGTGAGTAGTAAAAATAAAATTCAAAATCGTCTCCCTCCAATAATTTTTCATACGTAGACACTTCGCTTCGTGAACTATTGTAAAATTGAATCTGCCACGAATATTAGGTAACTCTGGAGTCTAGGAGACTCTGTCTATGTAGTGACTTTTTATTTAATTAATATCAAACTGACAAAACAAATCTGCCCCTTAAGCTGGCTGCACGCTGGACCGATATATTTTTACATAACAGCACTTTCACTGCGTGATACACAATCGTGAACTAGTTCGAAGATAAAACGACCACGGTAAAGACAATAGATCTAAGATCGAGCTGGAAGATGGAGAATAATTATACAGCACTAGGTAATGCAGATGCTGCAATTTTGAAGAAATAAAAGAAACGGGTAGTTAGTTGAGGCAGTTGTTGTTAGGCGGAATAAGTAAGAAAATGTTCTGAAAGATTGGTGTATTGAAGATTAATTAAAAATATCGAGTGCGTAGTCATTTAAGAGTAGGTTTTATTAATTAGATTACAAAGTCAAATTATTTTGCCCTAAAAGTATTGGCCTACATATAGACCTAGATAGCACTGTTTTTGAAAAAGTTAAATGATGAAATGATGCCCTTGGTTTCCAAATCATTTTTCAAGAATTTCAGATAATAATAAGTCGTTAGTTAAGTAAGTAGTTATAATAATTAAAAAAACAGCAAACATCATCACGTCACAATTTTATTCAATAATAGTTTAACTGTGGTATAGGTAGGTAGGTACCTACTAGGTACACTATACTTTTTGCAAAAAAAAATATGATTTTCAACATGATTTTTTCACTTTATTTCTAATTGCCCGAACAACTTCAAAGATTGTTAGTGGTCATTTTCCGTTACATTAAAAATGCCTGTACCTACTCAAAGTAAAATTTATAACAGACTTCAACAAACGGAAGAGGTTCTCAATTCGGTTGGTATTTTTAATTTCAAATTAGAATAGATAATACTTTCGCATTTATGTTTATAAAATATTACAGTTTGTAAGCAAATAATGGTAAAGTTTCATTTAAAGCTATTCATCATGACTAAGTATGCAACGGACCTAATATGAGTCCTAACTATCCTTTCAGTAATAACGTCGGTTTGAGTTTTGATAAAAGCAGAATTCATATTAAACAATATGTTTAATTTTAAGTGAATTTAGTTTACTTCACTTGTCGTAGTTGTCGTATAAAATAAGGAGAGCTTGGTTCTAAATATAATTATTAGACTTGGATGAAACTGGCAGTGCCACCTATCGGGGAATAGAAATATTATGAATATAGCAAAGCTGACAGGCTGATAAACTAATTAGTTTCAAACTTTAACAAGAGATGGCACCACATTCGTGTGTACTATAAACTAAAGAATAGAAAAATTAAGCAAAAACTTGATTAATATGACACTTTTACAGCTATTTATGATTTTTAAATGAAGCCTATGTTATAATTTTTTATTCTAATTGTTTATAATAATGATTAAAAAAAAATCGTAATGTGATTATGTCCTTTAGTTTTTGATTCTACTGGCAACTTTTTAAATCACTCTTCAGTTTATGGTACACCCGCCGCATCTGACAGTTCGTGAGTGAAAAATTGGAAATTATGAAGTAGAATAATTTATAAAATATCGTGTTTAAATGACAGCAGGAAAAGAAAACATGGGGTAAGTTCGTTTAACAATATTTCTATTTATCGGTCCAAACGGTTTTCACACACTAACCCCCTCGCGAAATGAATATAATCGTGTTTCACGTAGTTCTTGTTATTTTTAGGGAGGGGATGCATTTTACCAATGCGAAGGGATATTTCTGGTTTCCTTTCCAGGAATTGCAATAGACAGCTTGCGCAAATAATTTTCGGCGCTGCATGTCTATGTTCGCAATCAATAACTATTAATTTCCTTTCGATTCGTGGTGCTCACGTTAGTGTTACTGCATTTACGCCTAATCGGTTGTCTGCACATCGATTGCATACGATTGAGTGCTTTTACCTTTACACGTTAAGGTCGTCGGGTCGTGGTTGCTATTTATAATAGCAGTACTTTTACGCTTGAGCGCCAGCTCCGTAGTTTTGCGAGGTATTCCAGCGCGTGAATCGGTAACTTAGGTGGTTACATGAATCAGTAGCGTTGGAATTTCGCGCACGTTTTCTACTCACCTGCACCTGGCCATAAGGAATAATTTGGCGTGTTTATTTTTTCGCGGCGAACGCTAGTTCACGCCCGTGGTTTGACTGGCTTGTTTATAGTTTACTTGCCCAGTTAATATTGTGTTGGTGAGATAAAACAGTGTACAGGTTGCTTAGTACTTGTTGAAATGTGTAGCTGAGATCTGCAATTATTATGTTTGTTATTCAGTAATTTATATCTTAGAGACCCAAATCCTATAATCTTCTTCCTATCCCATATTACTATCAATTTTACAAGTCTTTTATCAACGAGTAAGAGATAGAAAAGATACTTAAAGTCAGTTTTATCTTGCTACAAGCAATATTTCGTAACATTCGTCTGGTTTATCTCATCATCATCAGTTTTTCTGTCAAGATTTCTTATCTTTAACATCTTTTGATAAGTTTTGCATTCCGTTATTCTTATAATTGCCAATAATACAAGCCATTCAAATCCCAATATCACCGTTCTAGATGGCGGTAGAATAGAATTGACCGCATTCTGATATTGTAGTGAGTTTCAAAAGGAAGTGAAAATGCAAGAGAATGTGGAAAACATGTAAGTGTACTGTTCATTGCGGCACATTGTGGTTTCTCGGTGTAATGTAATCCTATTGGTTCGAATGATCTCAGCGATCAATTGAATTACAATGCCATTTGGACATGTAACGTCTGTTTGTATTATGAATTATGTAAATTGTACAAAGTATTATTTGAGAATATATCTTGAAAGGATTTCCTTCTGAGAAGTGATACTACTTAAAACAAAAATGTGCAATAATGGCATATCTGAATATACTTTTTAGGACAGATTTTTCAATCTTTGAATGACTTCGGAAGAATAAAATTGGCATATTGACAGTTTCTGTATGGGAAAAATGTCAGAATATCAATTTTATTCTTGAGATATAAGATATCTGATGGATTGAAAAATCAGCCCTTAAGTCAGTTGTAAAATAACACTTCTTACAACACTATAAGATGATTATTTTTAACCGACTTCAAAAAAGGAGGAGGTTATATGCTCGGCTGTATGTATTTTTAGCTTGATTAGTTTAAGTGTATGCATGAAGCATACCTACTTCTAATGTAAAATGTGTATAGGTATGTTTTGTCTCTAGTTTTCCCTAAACATACTCACATAATAATGTTTGTTAGACCAGCTAATAGAATGGTGCTATAAAATTAACTATAACAACATCCTTCCTGTGGTGAGCAAACATAGTCAGGATGCAAATAAATTACTGTAGCTTATGGAGGGAGCTCTTACTGTGGAGGGCACTGGCCCTCAAACTTATAAAATATAAAATTGAATATGTGTTATATTTGTCGCGATCTAAATGAGCTACCTATTTTGTACATATTTTTCGCTATCTACGCGAGGTGTTTGGCAGATAGATTCCCTTAGTTTTACAGTAGACGAAATTCGTAAATAAAAATAACCATGACATTAAAATGGAATGGGTGTATTTTATGATTGGTTGTCTCTGGTCTGACCTACAATTTAGTAAATTAATAGCTAAAATAACACATTGGATTAATTAATGTAACGTGAAAAACGCTTGTAATTTAGTGAAATATGTGTCATACAGCATATGCGATGTGTTGTGGTGATTGCAGCGACGTATTTTACCAAATTGACAGCTGTGACGTAGGATGCCACGGACCACGGCACATCAATCTATGCAAAAGGCAATTTCATAGGCATAATTGCCTTGGATACTTACTACGGTTTCGCACCACGTCCGATACGAATCCGTCAAAATATGGATCGTCGTCGTCGTTTCAGCCGAAAGACGTCCACTGCTGGACAAAGGCCTCCCCCAAGGATTTCCACAAAGACCGGTCCTGCGCCGCTTGCATCCAGGTACTTCCCGCGACCCTCACCAGATCGTCGGTCCACCTAGTGTTCTCTAGTTTCGCGGACGATATTGTAGTTATGGCTGAGACCGTGGAGGACCTAATCACAATGCTCGATGGCCTCAGTAGAGCCTCTCAACAAGTGGGTCTTAAAATGAACATGGACAAGACAAAAATTATGTCAAATGCCCGTGTAGTACCCACTCCTCTGAAGGTTGGAGACACTACACTCGAAGTTGTTGACAATTATGTATACCTGGGACAAACAGTCCGGTTAGGTAGGTCCAAAATATGGATGTAGAAAACTAACTAGAAATATCGGATATGGGACCTAGTGCGTTAATAGTTCTAAGACTACTATTTTCACGGATTCGCATCGGAATCTGATAGCGTAGTGCGAAACTAAGGCCCGGTTTCCACCGAAGGGGAAGAGAGGATAAATGAGTGTTTGAATAACCAATCTGATTTCGGTACTGAGCAAAGAGGTGGTGTGGAAATAACGGAACATGTATGGTTATTCAAACACGTCATCTGCTCTCCTCGCTTTATTGCAAACCAGGCCTTTTGGATTTGTGTATGAAGTCTCAGTATAGGTACCCAAGATAGAAGAAACCATCTCACGTAAGCTTCATGGTTATTCAATCAAACACGTAATCTCTCCTCGCTTTAGTGCAAGCCAGGCCTTTTGGACTTGTGTATGAAGTCTCAGTATAGCTTAGTACCCAAAATAGAAAAAAACCATCTATTATAGATCGTTTCATCCACGAAGACGCGCCGCACCAATTTTTGGTCGAGGGAAGCGCGGGGTGCGGGGAGCTTATTCCGAGCAATCCGAGCGTCATTATTGTAGTATACGTGTGCACTCATGGCATGGATAATTTAGCGTGTACCGATAACATTCAAACATTAGCTGAAGAATAGTGGGGCGCGTCTTCGTGGATGAAACGATCTATAACATGAGCTTCATTTCCAGGGAGCAGCCGATCTTCACGTGCAAGGCGCACGTGTTCCACATAGACCCGAAGACGAAGCGTTCGTGGATGTCGGCCAGCTCGGCCGCCGTGTCCGTGTCCTTCTTCTACGACTCGTCGCGCAACCTGTACCGCATCATCAGCGTCGAGGGCACCAAGGTCAGGCCAATACAGATCCTAAGTGTTCGCTGTTATGGTCTCTTTTGCTGTAGCGCTCGTGAATTAGTTATGTCGGCCAGCTCGGCCGCCGTCTCCGTGTCCATCTTCTACGACTCCTCGCGCAACCTGTACCGCATCATCAGCGTCGAGGCTACCAAGGTCAGGCGAATACAGACCCTAAGTCTTTACTACGTTGGTTGCTTTCGCTGTAGCGCTCGTTACGACGACCAGCTCTTGAGAGGACCAAGGTCAGGCGAATACAGACTCTAAAGTGTTCGCTATGTAGGTCGCTTTCGCTGTAGCTCGGCCGCCGTCTCCGTGTCCTTCTTCTACGACTCGTCCCGCAACCTGTTCCGCATTATCAGCGTCGAGGGCACCAAGGTCAGGCGAATACAGACTCTAATCATATGCCATATAGGTCGCTTTCGCTGTAGCGCTCTTGGTGTCGACCAGCTCTTGAGAGAACCAAGGTCAGGCGAATACAGACTCTAACTGTTCGCTATGTAGGTCGCTTTCGCTGTAGCTCGGCCGTAGTCTCCGTGTCCTTCTTCTACGACTCGTCGCGCAAGCTCTACCGCATCGTCAGCGTCGAGGGCACCAAGGTCAGGCGACGACGTCCACTGCTGAACATAGATCTCCTCCAATGATTTCCATAATGATCGATTGGTAGCGGCCTACATCCAGCCCCTTTCTCGTCAGTCCACTTTGTGGGTGGACATCCTACGCTACGCTTTCCGGTACGTGACCTCCACTCAGTGGCGGCGTAGCATGGGTTGGCACCCGGGGCGATCACCCCCCCTCCCCCCGGCATAAGTCCCAAGGCACCCCCTGGTACCCCCCAGGATTTTGTGGTTACCTACCGATTCGANAAATATGGATGTAGAAAACTAACTAGAAATGTCGGATATGGGACGTAGTGCGTTAATAGTTCTAAGACTACTATTTTCACGGATTCGCATCGGAATCTGATAGCATAGTGCGAAACTAAGGCCCGGTTTCCACCGAAGGGGAAGAGAGGATATGTGTTTGTATAACCAATCTGATTTCTGAACTGATGCTGAGCAAAGAGGTGATGTGGAAATAATGGAACATGTATGGTTATTCAAACATGTCATCTGCTCTCCTCGCTTTAGTGCAAGCCAGGCCTTTTGGACTTGTGTATGAAGTCTCAGTATAGTTTAGTACCCAAAATAGAAGAAACCATTTATAGATCGTTTCATCCACGAAGACGCGCCGCACCAATTTTTGGTCGAGGGAAGCGCGGGCTGCGGGGAGCTTGATCCGAGTAATCCGAGCGTCATTATTGTAGTATGCGTGTGCAATGGCATGGATAATTTAGCGTGTACCGATAACATTCAAACATTAGCTGAAGAATAGTGGGGCGCGTCTTCGTGGATGAAACGATCTATAACATGAGCTTCATTTCCAGGGAGCAGCCGATCTTCACGTGCAAGGCGCACGTGTTCCACATAGACCCGAAGACGAAGCGTTCGTGGATGTCGGCCAGCTCGGCCGCCGTGTCCGTGTCCTTCTTCTACGACTCGTCGCGTAATCTGTACCGCATCATCAGCGTCGAGGGCACCAAGGTCAGGCCAATCATCATTTTAGCCATAGGACGTCCACTGCTGAACATAAGCCTCCTCCAATTATTGTTTAATAGCGGCCAACATCCAGCCCCTTTCTCGTCAGTCCTCTTTGTGGGTGGACGTCCTACGCTACGCTGTCCGGTACGTGACCTCCACTCCAGAACCTTGCTGCCCCATCGGCGTCAGTTCTGCGTACTATGTGCCCTGCTCACTGCCACTTCAGCTTGCTGATCCGTCGGGCTATGTCAGCGACTTTAGTTCGTTTATGGATCTCCTCATTTCTGATTCTATCTCGCAAAGAAACACCACATAGCCCGTGCTCTTCATAGCACGCTGTGTTCAGGTCAGGTTATTCGAATACAGACTCTTTAACTGTTCGCTATGTAGGTCATTTTCGCTTTAAGGTACCGGCAGAGCAGAATAGGGCTGGCCGGGAGGTTTTGGCCAAGTCTTCCATTTGCCTCTAGTAAATTATAGAGGGTCGTGCTCCCACAATATCCTCCTTGTCACATCTCTTACACGTGAAAACATGGTGGATGGTGCTGAGACGTGGCGTATAAAGCTCGGTGACCATTGTCAGTCTACTCTGCAACGTCTTAACTAAACTGAAATTAACCTAGTGGGAACAAGATTTATCAATTTGTGTTTCCCGCTCTCTATTTCTCCAGACCCATTAGACAAAGTAACTTTCTCCAGACCCCTAATTCATTTAGTAGTTTCAAATTCGCGATCGCGTCATCGTGGAAACTGGAAGGAAAGTTGCTAAGTACTAAAAAAGAATGGAGCGTATTCTTATGTAACTGTCCAATTCCCAAAACACAGAGGTCCAACATATTATCGTCTTACATTTTAGATTATATGTCAACTCGCAGACAGTTCATACATAACGCAAGCAGGTAAGCAACTAAGAGGATTGGTGTAGTGCGAAACATGTACATTATGTATGACTCATGAGCTGGGAAGCAGTTAATAGAGTACATTACCGTTTCAACACTTTAGAAACGTAAAATACGCAATATTTCCTGTGAGTTTTTGTTTGGAATTGTGTGAAATGGGGACTATTGTGGTTAACATTGTACGAAACAATAAAACATTGAGTTCGCGTGAATTTCGGTCACAGAAGACTTGTTTTGTATCATTATTATTAAATGAGGTTTACAATGTTACTTACATACTTATAATAAAATAATAACTGTTGCCTTCATTCGTATTACTAAGAAATGAAGTATTGTATAGATCTTATTGAGAAATCGTATCTTAGAAACATTAACTTTTTGTAAGAAACGAAGCGACCATTTTCGCTGCCTGGTACAGTGATTCAACTGTGCCATAAGTTACGGGTTCGATCCCCGAACAATACAAACATAGCGTTTACTTATATGATACCCGGCCTGGGATGCACGGCACGATATCTTATAGTCGATTATAGGCGATAAATGTATTGGCTTATCGTCTAAAATCGATCGCTGATCCATTCATTGGCGCGCATCCTAGGCTAGCTAAACTTATCAATCGTTGACTACTAAATCCACACACCACATTTAATTCTTTCATCATGCTCCAAATGGATATGTCAACGTGAAATTGTGAACTCAGTCAGTTTATAATATAATGCGTCAGATTGTAAACTAACAGTGGGTTAGGTTAGGTTAAATTGAAATTTAACTACGTCAGATTATAATCTGACGGAAATCACAATTTTACGGTGACAGATCCACCACAAGTAAAATATTATAATCTTCGTTCATTCATTCGTTACAGCCAATTACGTCCACCGCTAGACAAACTTCCTCCTCATTTTTTTCTATTATTATTATTCTATTCTGTCCTATTTGTCGGCAGGCGGTGATCAACAGCACCATAACGGCGAACATGACGTTCACGAAGACCTCCCAGAAGTTCGGGCAGTGGAGCGACGTCAGAGCCAACACGGTCTACGGGCTCGGGTTCGCGTCCGAGGCTGAGCTTGGGAAGGTAAGATTAATCTAATACTACTTTGTTAAGGTTTTGTCATAAAAACTTTAAGTGTAGAGTGTACGCAATGGCGTGAAAAATTGAGCATCAGCAGCAGCTAATATCAAGCCTGAACCCGTCTGGACAGTCGATAATGTGAAGAGTTTTGGTCAAATCCTTCATTTTCCTTCTGTAAATTAGAGTGTCGTGCTCTTACAAAAGGAGACACAAAATGATCTGACAAAGATGCGACAATTTCCACTTATACACATCCAATCCCAAAGAGTAAAAAATTACTATTTACAAAATTTCAAGTTTTTAAAGAGCCACAATTTTTTTTCTTGCCAACAATAAATAGCTTCTATACTTTCATAAAGTTTGTTGATAAAAAAGTAATCTATTTATTCATAGGAAAAATATCTATTTATTCTTGACAAAATGTATTTGTACACCTGCATGCAGGTTGAATACTTGAACTAAAAAATTTTCTGTTGAAAATGTTCCTGTATTCTGGCAAATAAACGCTTCTTATGTTAATAAGATAAAAATGAAAACAATTAAACATTTACTTACTTACAACACTAACTTGTAGGAACTTCAACAACAAACAATTGAGCAAACTGCTGCGGTGAAAAGAGAGTATAAGTAGCTGAGAGAATGCCTAAACCTCGTTAATCGTTTCAGAACATTTTTTTTTTATAAAATAAATAATATTTGAGAATGGAACTAAAGAGCCGCAGCCTCACATCCAAAGAGCCGCATGTGGCTCGCGGGCCGCAGGTTGCCGACCCCTGACCTAGACTAAAATGACCTAAATGACGATGATGACTAACCGTCGTTCCACCTGTCCCCAGTTCATCGAGAAGTTCCAAGAAGTCAAAGAGGCGATCCAAGCGCAGCAATGCTCCGGCGCCGCCAAGAGCGTCACCAACGGCAACAGCGGCGCCGCCACGCCGGTCGCCAGCGCCACCGCCAGCCCGCTGCTCGCCGCGCGCGCGCAGCCCGACGAGCCGCCCGCCGTCTCGCCCGCACAGGTCTGTAGTTGGCTGCACAGGTACATATAACTACACAGGTCTATAGTTCGCTGCACAGGTACATATAGCGACATAGGTCTGTAGCTAGCTGCACAGGTACATGATAGCCACACAGGTCTGTAGCTGGCTGCACAGGTACATATAACGACACAGGTCTATAGTTCGCTGCACAGGTACAAGCGACACTGGTCTATAGTTCGCTGCACAGGTACAAGCGACACAGGTCTGAAGCTGGCTGCACAGGTACATAATAGAGACACAGGTCTGTGGCTGGTTGCACAGGTACATAATAGCAACACAGGTCTGTAGCTGGCTGCACAGGTACATATAGCAACACAGGTCTGTGGCTGGCTGCACAGTTGCCAGCCCGAAGAGCCGCCCGCCGTCTCGCCCGCACAGCTCTGTAGTTGGCTGCACAGGTACATATAACGACACAGGTCTATAGTTCGCTGCACAGGTACAAGCGACACAGGTCCGTAGCTGGCTGCACAGGTACATATAACGACACAGGTCTGTAGCTGGCTGCACAGGTACATAATAGCGACACAGGTCTGTAGATGGCTGCACAGGTACATAATAGCGACACAGGTCTGTAGCTAGCTGCAAAGGTACTTAATAGCGACACAGGTCTGTGGCTGGCTGCACAGTTGCCAGCCCGACGAGCCGCCTGCCGTCTCGCCCGCACAGGTCCGTAGCTGCACAGGTACACAGCACAGCTGGCCCGGCGCCGGGAGCGGCACCAACGGCAACAGCGCCGCCGCCAGCCCGACGAGCCGCCCGCCGTCTCGCCCGCACAGGTCCGTAGCTGCACAGGTCCGTAGCTGCACAGGTACACAGCACAGCTGGCCCGGCGCCGGGAGCGGCACCAACGGCAACAGCGCCGCCGCCAGCCCGACGAGCCGCCCGCCGTCTCGCCCGCACAGGTCCGTAGCTGCACAGGTACACAATAGCGACCCAGGTCTGTAGTTGGCTGCACAGCCACAGCTGTGCACAGGTGCCGACCTGACGAGCCGCCCGCCGTCTCGCCCGCACAGGTCTGTAGTTGGCTGCACAGGTACATATAACGACACAGGTCTATAGTTCGCTGCACAGGTACAAGCGACACTGGTCTATAGTTCGCTGCACAGGTACAAGCGACACAGGTCTGTAGCTGGCAGCACAGGTACATAATAGAGACACAGGTCTGTGGCTGGTTGCACAGGTACATAATAGCAACACAGGTCTGTAGCTGGCTGCACAGGTACATATAGCAACACAGGTCTGTGGCTGGCTGCACAGTTGCCAGCCCGACGAGTCGCCCGCCGTCTCGCCTACACAGGTCTATAGCTGGCTACACAGGTACATTTAGCGACACAGGTCTGTAGCTGGCTGCACAGGTACATATAGCAACACAGGTCTGTGGCTGGCTGCACAGTTGCCAGCCCGACGAGTCGCCCGCCGTCTCGCCTACACAGGTCTATAGCTGGCTACACAGGTACATTTAGCGACACAGGTCTGTAGCTGGCTGCACAGGTACATATAGCAACACAGGTCTGTGGCTGGCTGCACAGTTGCCAGCCCGACGAGTCGCCCGCCGTCTCGCCTACACAGGTCTATAGCTGGCTACACAGGTACATTTAGCGACACAGGTCTGTAGCTGGCTGCACAGGTACATATAGCAACACAGGTCTGTGGCTGGCTGCACAGTTGCCAGCCCGACGAGTCGCCCGCCGTCTCGCCTACACAGGTCTATAGCTGGCTACACAGGTACATTTAGCGACACAGGTCTGTAGCTGGCTGCACAGGTACATATAGCAACACAGGTCTGTGACTGGCTGCACAGTTGCCAGCCCGACGAGCCGCCCGCCGTCTCGCCCGCACAGGTAAACAGTCTGTAGGTGGTTGCACAGGTACATAATACATAATAGGACTTACAGGGCAGATATGTACCGTCCTAGACTGCATCTCACTTAACACCAGGTGCGATTGCGGTCAAATACCTGCCTTGTCCAGCATAAAAAAAAGGTCTGTAGTTGGCTGCACAGGTACATAATAGCGACACAGGTCTGTGGCTGTCTGCACAGGTGCCAGCCCGACGAGCCGCCTGCCGTCTCGCCCGCACAAGTCCGTAGCTGGCTGCACAGGTACTTATAGCAATACAGGTCTGTGGCTGCCTACACAGGTGCCAGTCCGACGAGACCTAGCTGTCTCATGCGCATAGGTACACAGCACAGTCGACATACAGTCTGTAGCTGGCTGCGTAGGTACATAATAGCGACACAGGTCTGTAGATGGCTGCACAGGTACATAATAGCGACACAGGTCTGTGGCTGGCTGCACAGGACTGTTCCCACTTCACGTTTCCACCGCTGCAACTCCTGCGTAGCCAGGATCTAAAGCTTGACCGCCAATAACAACCCAACCAGTGAAGGCCAAGTTTGTCCCGGGGGAAAGTTAAACTGTCATTGGACCGTTAGTGGCGCTCGCACAGGTTCACAGCACAGTCGACGAACAGTCTGTAGCTGGATGCATATGAACATAATGGCGACGACAGGTCTGTTTGGCTGCACAGGTACATAATAGCGACACAGATCTGTAGCTGTCGCCAAAGGTGCCAACCTGACGAACGTCGCTGCCTCACCGGCATAGGTACACAGCACAGTCTGTCGCTGGTTGCACAGGCACATAAAAGCGACACGGGTCTGTAACTGTCTGCACAGGTGCCGGCCCGATGAGCCGTCGCTGTCTCGCTCGCACACTTACAAATACATTGGCATCTGTCTTCCTTCACAGATGTCTTTATACATGATACAGGTATCTGGCTGTTCACACAGGTACTTTATAGTAATAACATAGCTATACAGATGTGTAGCTGTCCGCACAGATAAGATGGAGCTGCACAAGTGTATTTAATAGGGAATATGCATCGATTTTAAAAGTTCATAAATTATGTATTTCGTTTTTTGTATGTATTAGTTACATCATAGAATTTCTGAGAAACTAGTAGGATTGAAATCGGACTGGAAACAAAAAGTTACAAGTGTTTAAACTTTGTATGAAAAGAAGCTGAGCGTGACGTCAAATGTCACCCGCCCATAGTAACTTGTATAGGACTTTGCGTGTCGTTCTAACATGACCAAAGACGTCATGAGATTTCTAACGTCTATGGTCTGGTCTGCGAGCACGTAGAATTTTGTCCAATGACCCCAAGCTACCCATCCTTATCGCTCGCGCGTAATTATATTGCTGTCGCGGTCGCACACTCACTGCGGGCTCCCGTCGCACAGTCGCGACAGCAATATAATTACGCGTGACCGATAAGGATGGGTAGCTTGGGGTCATTGGACAAAATTCTACGTGCTCACAGACCGGGCTTTATCTATATCATAAGTATCTTTTGAAAGTTTTGTACTTTTGTTAAAGAAAAGCACTGATTGTTTTGATAATGCTAAGGCTACTGAAATGTGAGAAATAAAATACCTTGTATATTCCCTATTGTCCGCAGGGATACGATACATCGAGACAAGGTGGACAGACGCCCGCACAGGTATGATCCACAACGAGGTATGACACATGTCCCTTTAGAAGTCCACAACATTAATAATGTTATTTTGTTCCAGGTCAAAACAGATAACGACGAAATGATGGTACACCAAAGAGCGCATTCGGTTTCATCGACGTTGCAGGTACTTATTTTAGAATATAATATCTTTATTCAGCATATAACATTTAGATGCATACATTTACATATACATTTTCTGTATTAGACTGCTGTACACCGTTAATTTTCATTTGGCCAGTGTATAGAGTCTTGGCTAAATTCACCATTTGTCTCTGGCAAATGAAGAGGGTCGAGGCCCTGCCAGTGGAGACTGAAATGACCTGATGATAATTTATTAATTTATTTATAATAATTAAGCCTTTTATTCGGACAACAGTATACTGTACATTTATCATCACACTATTAAGTAATGTGTTTTTTAAACAATTTTATTCATTTATATATTTCGTGCTTCTTTATTTTCTGTATGTCCGTTTGCCAATTGGCAAAGGCCTCCTCCAACCTATTAATTTTAATTTATTTAAGGACCAACAAAACATACACCATACATTCACAGTTCCCTTATAAATAAATTATGCTAAGGTGTTGCCTTAAGTAAAGGTTGCCACGACATGCACAGAATGTTGGATAACAAAACAATGAAGTTCCCAAAGTGACAGAATGCGAAACAATGAGGGTTTTCGCGATTGAAAAATCCGCCAGATGGCAATACGTAGACGCGAGGTCCAAATGCTGCATGATTGGTTATTTTTGACATGACATTGACAGATGTCAAAATCCACCAATCACGCAGCAGTCAGACCCTACATCCACGTCTCGCCATCTGGCTGATTTTTCAATCGCGAAAACCCTCATTAAACGTTGCCACGACATGCACAGAATGTTGGATAACATAACAATGAAGTTGCCAAAGTGACAAAATGCGAAACAATTGATTTATCAACTATCTGTCGAGTATACAAATGCTGCATGATTGGTGGATTTTGACATATCTGTCAATGTCATGTCAAAATCCACCAGTCATGCAGCATTTGGACCTCCCGTCTACGTAATGCCATCTGGCGGATTTTTCAATCGCGAACACCCTCATTCCGAAATAATGCGTCATTTGCTTTTTCTCCTAATAATTGTTTTTGGAAATTTTGGACCTTAATACAAGTCAGTAAAGTTCAAAATAATGTAGTCACTATATCACTAATTCTGATTATGTTTGTGTAGGGCGGCTACGCGACCGTAGGCCGGGCGCCGCGCGGGCCGCTGGCGTCGGTGGCGGCGCCCATCGAAGCTCCGCCCGAGGGGCCCGACCACCAATTACGCTACGAAAACGACCGTTTGAAGCTTGCGCTGGCGCAAAGGTAAGACTGCTCTATGTAGCTGGTTTAGGGGCTATTTTTCAACGAGCTTATAGTCGGAGAAAAGCTACGGAGACGATGCATAGAGATGCAGCGGGAATAGTGGCATATTTGCAACGAATTTGTCGTTAGCGCCCATCGAAGCTCCGCCCGAGGGGCCCGACCATCAGCTACGCTACGAAAACGACCGTTTGAAGCTTGCGCTGGCGCAAAGGTAAGACTACTCTATGTAGCTGGTATAGGGGCTATTTTACAACGAGCTTATAGTCGGAGAAAAGCTACGGAGACGACTCTATGCAGCGGGAATAGTGGCATATTTGCTACGAATTTGTCGTTAGCGCCCATCGAGGCTCCGCCCGAGGGGCCCGACCATCAGCTGCGATACGAAAACGACCGCTTGAAGCTTGCGCTGGCGCAATGGTAAGATAAGATAAGATAAGAAAAACTTTATTTGACACAAAAAGAAAATTAAAAAGAAACATTTGGACTTAAAACTATACCTACATGCATATTTCGTCGCTTGCCTCTCTAACTGACGTATCTGAATTTTTTTTCGAAACTGAGTTATCTACACCATCTTAATCAATTTCGCAAGACGAATCGATCTGTCTAATCGCCTGAAAATTTTTTCTAAATGTCAGTTACGTCAGTTAGAGAGGCAAGCGACCATTTTTGTGCCAAGGTAGGTGGACTCTATCTAGTTGGAATAGAGGCTATTTTGGAATTAAATGAATTTGTAAAGTTGCTGCGCAAGGTTGTGCGCTGGCGCAGAAGTAGAAAGACTATGCAGTGAGGTAGGGGCTGTGATAACGAACTAGTAGCCTATTTGATTGTCAACTACGCTGCGAAAACGACCGCCTCAAGCTTGCGCTGGCGCAGAGGTAGGACGACTCTATGTAGCTGGAATAAGGGCTATGTTGCAACAAAAGTGTGAAGTCTTGACTAACTGCTGAAGATTTGCCAATAAGTGGTGACTGAGTTTGTTCCGGCGTTTCTTCTCAGCACTTGCCATATTATGTTTGTCTCGAAGCGCTGGTAGGGCCCAAAAGATAAGGAGACATGTAAAGTGCCCCATAAGGGCTACCTTTTCTTTTTTTTATATTTAAATTTTGACGTTCATAAGTGCCACTTGTGGTCTAAGCTGAATAAATATTTTTGATTTTGATTTTGAATGCAAGAATTCGTGAAAATGTCTATGTAATTGGGATAGGGGGCTATTATGCAATGAAAATGTAGTCTGTTAGGTTGTCTGAAGATGCACTGGCCCAAAGGTACAGTCAGCGTCAAATAGTTTGTGACACCCAAAGTGACCAAAATGTTGACAACCCAACTTTATTCCAATTGTAACAAAGACGTGTTGTGAACTTTTTGGCTACTTTGGGTGTCACGAAATATTTGACGCTGAATATTTGATATGTGAAATAAACAAATGCGAAATTTTTCAAGATTTATTCAAATCGTAAGAGTTTTGTACAACGCTTAAACACTAATTAAAACATGAAAACAGTAACAACAGCAGTCTTAAGCAAATTACATACAATACAGCTTCTTTTAAAAGCTTTTATTCGTACATCATTCGAGAGAGTAAGTACTTCGATTTTTCCACTGAAATCGTTTCTAAATTGTTTCTCCTTGATTTTATTTAAAAGCTAAAGCACACTTTTATCATTCGAAAAGATAAAAACATTCAAATAAGTACAACTATTAAAGCTTATCTATAAAATTTCAACAATAGAGCCCATACGTTTACAAGTAATTTGAATGAAAATTTCAGTGTTCCGATAAATGCACATCGCAATTAGGTATGTCCTTTATAAATAATACAGTTTGTTAATAAATTATTTGTAATAGAAACGTTTGTATTATGTATGGGCTTATTTTTTAACAGTCTAGGTATGTCAAGTGCGAAAATCTTTTCAGTCTGAAAGCACACACTATGATACGAAATTTAGGTCATTTGGTACAGACGACATTTTCGTTGTAAAATAGCGCTTATGTAGGTACTTGCATTATAAGATGCTACAATTTTAGCTATAAAATAAGTGCTGTCTATTGCAATCAAATGACTGTAACCTATGAAGTAATCATGATAAAATCATATGACTCCTAAAATTATTTTCACATAATCGTTCCATAGTAGACCTCTTTCAGACTCAAAAGATTTCATCCTATAATTTATTTACTTTTATTAATGTTCGAATCCTCCAGCAACCGGCACGAACCCATCCTCAAAGTTATTGAACTCGTGGTACTGGGGCTTGTACTCCTCAAAGTGCTTTTGAGGTTTGTACTCCTCGTAGTGCTTCTGGGGTTTGTACTCCTCGTGTTCCTTGGGGGTGCCGATCTTGTGCACTATCGCGTTGAATCCGTTCTTGTCGTCGGCTTCGTATTCCACCACGCGTTTTGTGCCATCAGTCTCTAGGAGGGTGTATGTGCCTGGAAAAGGGTGATATCTATATATATAAAAGAAAGTCGTGTTAGTTACTTCGCTTATAACTCAAGAACGGCTGAACCGATTTAGCTGAAAATTGTCAGGGAGGTAGTTTAGAGCCAGGAGAAGGACATAGGATCTTTTACTCCCGGACTTTTATCCCGTTCGAAATTAAAAAAAAGTCTGCTTATTTATTGCCATTAAGGCGGAACAAAGTTCGCCGGGCCAGCTAGTTTGAAATAAATAATAGCCAACTTGGCAAATTCCAAAGGGCGATGGAGCGTACTATGCTCGGAGTCTCCCTTCGTGAACGAATCAGAAATGAGAAGTTCCACAAAAGAACCAAAGTGACACATAACTCGCAGAGCTATAGCTTATACTGATTTATGTTTTCGTCAACTTGAAAAGCCACTCCTTGCAGATCTTAACAAAAAC